TGGAGAGCATTTCGGTCAACAAACACTTAAGTGTTTGCATGAGCAAATAGGCTCGGAGACTTCGGGAGGCGACTGGACCGTGCTTCGTGACCATATTTATTGTAGCTGTCTGAGAAGTTCCAGATGGCCGCCAAGCCGCCTCGCAGAGTCCAGATTGTTACACAATCCAAAACATGCATCTGCCGCTTCCAGACAAGCTGGTTTCTCAGGAGCGGACGATCCCAAAGACCCAAACCGGGAAGCTCATTCACAGCGCAGCCCTTCTCCAGAAATGCCCCCAAGGTACATCTTTCAGCCTCTTGCGAATACTCCGAGCTGTGGAGTCTTGTGAGCAGAAATTCTCCCTTGTGAGCGAGCGATGTGGCTCCTGCATCAATTAGTTTGCTCTGGAGCCACATCCTTCCTGAGCTGAGACAAAAAAATGTGTGAGCCGGAGGCTAAAAAACTGCGAGCTGGCTCACACTCACTCAGCTTAGAGGGAACGCGGCTTGCGAGGCCTGCGTTAGGTGCAGAGCCACAACCGGAGATCCAGGTACAGACCTACTGTGGAACTTTAAAAAAAACTGCAAGCAGCAATGAGGGGAGACCGCATGTGAGGAGAATGACCTCGGCACCCATACAGACGTCCACATGGCCTCCCCCACAAGGCAAAGAGCATAAGGGGGGAGGGGGTGCGTGCAAGAGTACCAAAATGGAACAAAATGACCGTGCCCTTGTGATGCACCCCCCCCCCAATTCCTCGGTGCTCCTTCCCGATCGAGCAGTTGCAGATTTATTACCACTTGCTCCATTACTACCACAGGTCTATGGAATCCCTGTCTGTTTATCTCTGAAAGGAAATGTGAATGCCGACGGTGCAGTAAGTCGAAAGTGACTGACGGAAAGTGCTCCGGCCCAGTTTCAAACTACCAGCTGATGTCTCTTTGCACTGGTTCCGGGCTTTCTGACTCCCTGGCAAAAGCACAGGGGCTTCCCCAGCCCACCATCACCACCAGACGTCTCGACTAGGACACAAAAGGACACCTGGCCTTCCCCACCAGCGCAGAGCCTGGCCCCACACCTGTTGAATTCATCTCTCCCCCCCACCCCCACCTCCTTTGCTTGCAGAATGGGAGAACAGCCACCAGGCCCAGACTAGTTTAGACCAGCTGGACCGGGGAGAGAATCTAGAAGCGGAACAATTAGCAGCCCCAAACGGCAGCAAGGGGGTGGGGGGGATGCGCAGTGAAACTTCATTAAGGCAACCGATGCTAGAAGACATGATCAGCGTGCATACAATTCGCCCCTGGGCACAGTGACGTGCCAGGAATTATTGCAAACAAGGACAAACTTGCGCCGGACGTGGGGGACAGGAAATCACGACAAACAGGGGCCGCAAGGTCATGGCAGGACGCCCCCAGAAGAGGCAGTGTTTCCTCCTGCTTTGGGCCAGATCACAGCTTTTATGAGCAGCTTCCCCTAGAAATACCCTTGCTGGATTTTCCACGGCCCTTCCACTGGCCCAGAGGCATCCCTGCCAGGCTCCGCATGTGCAGAAGCATCCATCGTGCATGTGCCCACGATGGAAATAAGGGGGAGAAAAATCCGCATGGTCAAAGCAATGGTATTCCCAGTAGTCATGTATGGCTGCAAGAGTTGGACTATAAGGAAGGCCGAGTGCCGAAGAATAGATTCTTTTGAACTATGGTGCTGGAGAAGACTCTTGAGAGTCCCTTGGACTGCAAGAAGAACAAATCAGTCAATCCTCAAAGAAATCGACCCTGACTGCTCCCTGGAAGGCCAGATAATGAAACTGAAGCTCAAATACTTTGGCCACCCAATGAGAAGGGAGCACTCCCTGGAGAAGAAGACCCTGGTGCTGGGAAAGATTGAAGGTCAAAGAAGACGGGGACGGGCAAAGGACGAGATGGTGAGACAGTGTCATAGATGCAACGAACATGAAGTTGAGCAAACTTCAGAGGACGGCGGAAGAACGGAAGGCCTGGCGTGATCTGGTCCATGGGGTCGCGAAGAGTCGGACTCGACTGTGCGACTGAACAACAACAAGTCCAAACCCGTCCACAGCATTGGACTCTAACATGCACCCACAGCCTCCCCACCGAGGCCCTTCAGCTTTCACAAGGAAGGAACGCTCAGCTCCAGGTCCTCTGAATCAACATCTCAGTTTGCGGCTCTGTCTCAGCCCAAACTTCTCTTGGCCGTGCGGAGATCCCTTAAGGAAGAACCAAGAGGACTCTGGACAGCTGATGCAAAGACAGACGACAGACCTCTGCTAGACCAGAATTTCTCTCCCACACAGACACCTCTGTCTAAAAGTTTGAACCTATGTTGTCCCCCCCCCCACAGTTGAACCGAAACAAAGGATAACCAGGATCGAACTTGTCATTCTTTTGATCTGTTAAATAATAATAAGAAGAGATTGGATTTATACCCCGCCCTTCACTACCCAAAGGTGTCTCAGAGCGGCTGACAAACTCCTTTCCCTTCCCCTCCCCACAACAGACACCCCATGAGGTAGGTGGGGCTGAGAGAGCTCTTGACAGAAACGGCTCTTTTTCCAAGAACAGCTCTTATCAGGACTACGGCTTGCCCAAGGTCATCCAGCAGGTGCAAGTGGAGGACTGGGGGAATCAAACCCGGTTCTCCCAGATTAGAGGCCACGCACTTAACCACGACACCAAACTGGCGCACTTAACCACGACACCAAATTTTAAAAAAGCATCCTCACTATTTCGCATGCTAATGTAACAAACCACTCCTATATATACACCTATTATATGTAATTTCATTTCACTGTCTGACGAAGCATGCGTGCACACAAAAGTTCACACCTTGAATAAAACTTTGTTGGTCTTAAAGGTGTCCCTGGACTCTGACTTGGTTCTAGTTTCCAACGTATTTGAAAAAGTGTGCGTTGCACAGGAAAGCTCATAGCTTGAAAAAAGCTTTGCTGGTCCTCAAGGTGTCCCCGGACTCTAAATTTGTAGCTCCGCAGAGTAACCTCACATGCTTCATCCTGGGGGAACTGGGCCTTCTGATCTCAAGTGATAACCCACCCCCAACACACACACACACACACAGAGAGAGAGGCTGTAACTCTGGGCTTAAAACTCCCACTGCCACAGTTCATGCATCAGACAGCCAAAGGCCAACACAGCTCATAAATCTTTAAGGCGCTATTTGATGCTTATCTGGGGCCACGGGCACACTGGATAGCCAGGGGAAGGAGACCTGATCTACACGGTCTGGTGGAACTGCCTCCAAACCAGGCACATGATACCCGGGGAGGTCCTCCCAAAAGCTGCCCAGACAAGTAGAGGCATTTATTTCCAGCGACCACATGGCTGGAGATGCTGGGTGTTGACGATCTAAGGAAAAACGGCGTGTGTGAATTCAGGCTGAACTTCCGAGATGTACCCCAGGGCGCTCCTTTAAAAGAAAATCCGTCAGTTTCTCTCTCTTTGCTTCCAAAAGAAGCCTCAAGATAGCTAATGTCAGGTTTCTGATCCTTCCCCCACTCTCTGGTTAACTCACACAGCCACGTGGTTTGCACACTGTGCATCTGCTGTCCTCACACTCTGCTCCAAAATGCCCCAAAAACCCTTCCTGGCACACACGTCATTCTACCTGCTTTCTCGCCGTGGCAGGACGCCCCAGAAGAGGCAGCGTCTTCTCCTGCTTTGGGCCAGACCACAGCTTTTACGAGCAGCTTTCCCTGGAGACACCCACGCTGGCATTCCCACGACCCCTTTGCCGGCCCAGAGGCACCCCTGCCGGGCGCCACATCTGCAGGGCGAGCATCATGCCCACCCCTGGCCCCAAACCACACTTCCCATTCATGCTTTGCAACCCCAAGCGCTGGTGGAAAGCACCAGCCCAGGGTTCTCAAGGAAAAAAGAGCGGAGCGGTGGTGGGGTCTCATTACCTGCCCCTGTGTCGCCACCCCGGACTCCCCATCCGAGTACTAGCCAATGCTCCCTCTAAGCTGTGGCGTCTTGTGAGCCAAGATTCTACTTTGTGAGCTGACTGGCACTAAAGTTGTGAGCCAGCAACTTGGCTGCTGCCTAAATCAGTCTGCTCTGGAGCCCTGACAAAAACGTGTGAGCCGGAGGCTAAAAAAATGTCAGCTAGCTCACACTAACTCAGTTCAGAGGGAACACTAGTGAGTGAGCCATTTGGCTCCTGCATCAATGAGTCTGCTCTGGAGCCCTCCTTCCTGAGCCGGGACAAAAATGTGTGAGCTGGAGGCTAAAAAAATGTCAGCTAGCTCACACTAACTCAGTTTAGAGGGAACACTTGTGAGCGAGCCATTTGGCTCCTGCATCAATGAGTCTGCTCTGGAGCCCTAGTCCTTCCTGAGCCGAGACACAAATGCGTGAGCCGGAGGCTCAAAAGCTGTGAGCTGGCTCACCCTCACTCAGCTTAGAGGGAACAGTGGTCCTAACCGGGGCTGATCCTGCTTCGCGTCCGAGGTCTGCCCGGATCGGGCTAGGGAGAGATGACCGGAGGAGGTTGGCCGTCGCCCGCCTCTGCCTAGCCCCCCTGGAGGGATCCCCCCCCCCCCCCCCAGCCCTCCCAACCCCCCCCGGG